AGGCTAGAAAGCTCAGGTTTATGGGCTATGAGCCTGGCTCAAAGAGCTATCGCTTTAGTGATGGGAGCAGAAGTATAGTAATTTCCAGATCTGCTAGCTTTGCAGAGCAGAATTGGGGCAAAATTGATGCCAATTCTGGGGATGATCCACTTAGTGACGGTGACTCACTTTGTGATGGTGTCAGCGTTCAGGGAGAAGAAGCTGAAAAAGAGCAAGAAAAGGAGTCAGAAGAAGATGGTGACTGTGATGTGAAGCAGGAAAGGGTTGACAGTCAAGAGCAGTCAATGCCACGCAGATCAGAGCGATGGAACAAGGGGACCTGACAGGTATTCTGCTGGGAAAGTAAAGGTGTGTAATATGTGGGATGAGCCAAGAAACTATCAGGATGTATTGGCACTATCCAAAGTGGAGCAAGTGAAGTGGAAAGAGGCCATGGACAAAGAAATGAAAGTGTTCACCTCTATGACTTTGCCACAAGCTGTAGGATGTAAATGGGTAAACAAAAATCAAGTGTTACCCAACAATGAAGTCCAATATAAGGCAACATTAGTGGCACAGGGATTTTCGCAGAAGAAAAATGGGCACTATGATGAGGTATTTGCACCAACGGTAAAAAGTGAAACTATAAGGTTGGCACTAGCGTTGGCAATGGCATGTGGTCATAAAATTTGGCACTTTGATATAACTACAGCATTCCTCAGTGCAGAGTTGGAGGAAGAAATTTACATGGTTCAAGCAACAGGGTATGAAAGTAAAAAGCCTGGCACTATGTATAAATTGAACAAGGCCATTTATGGGCTGAAGCAATCAGCCAGAAACTGGAACATCTGTTTAGATGTGGCATTGAAGGATCTTGGGTTCAAGAGTTGTAAGGCTGATGGCTGCATATATACTGCAAGGTTCCATGGTGGGGATTGCCAATTATTAGCATTTGTGGATGATCTTTGTTTCATTGCAAAGGATGTGGCACAGGTGAAGGAATTTGCTAATCAATTGGAGTAAAGTTTGAGTTGAAAAGTCTGGGTGAAATGCAAAACTATCTTGGTGTAGAGATACAACAAAATGAGGAAGGTGCCTACGTTCTCAGTCATAGAAGGAAAATTGAGCAGCTGTTGGAGAGATACAACATGAAGGATTGTAATTCTGCTCCAGTATCTATTAGCATAGATTTTCACAACACTTTGGATAAGGACAAAAGTGAAGCCTGTGATCAGGAGATATATCAGTCAGCCATAGGAAGCCTGTTATATCTGTCACAGTGATACAGACCAGGCATAGCTTGTGCAGTAAGCATCTTAAATCACTTTACTGCCTCACCAACGCAGTTGCATTGGATGGGTGTGAAGAGAATTTTCAGGTATTTGAAGGGAACTGTGAATTTGGGTCTTCAAATACAGGTCTCTGAAGAGTTAAAGTTAAATGTTATGTTAACAGTGATTATGCCAATGATGTGCAAACCAGAAAGTCCAATTCTGGGTTTGTGGTATTATTTGGAGGGATTTTAATTGGATGGAAGTCCAGAAAACAAACAACTGTAGCTATTTCTACTGCAGAGGCAGAATTTATTGCTCTGTTCAGAGGTAACCTGGTATGTACAGCTGTTAAAGGATTTAAATATAGAAGTTAAAGAAGCTGTAACAGTATTTGAAGATAATGCTGGTTGCATTAAAATGGCAACAGGTGACAGAGTGAAAAGTAGAAGCAAGCATGTGGACATTAACTATTATAATGTCAGAGAAGACATCAAAAGTAAACTAATTCACTTGTTTCATTGTTCTTCAGATGACAATCTGACAGATGTAATGACCAAGCCATTGGGTGGAGTACACCATGGGAAGAGTATTAAATTATTTGGTTTTATGTCTATTCCAGTCATAAAGGGAGGAGTGTCACTGTGTAAGAAATTTTATGAACTGGAATAGCCATAGCAACAAACCAGCCAATGAGAACTGTTTTTGATTAAGACACAGTATTGGCTGTGTGAGGCATGTGATCCAGCCTAGGTCTGGGCATATCTTAGTCTTCTCTGTGTTTTTTTCTGATCCCCAGGTTAAGAATTATTGATGTTCCCCAGAGTTGAATGAAACTGTATGTATCATGTTTATATATATTTTATAGATAAAGTTTTTCTAAACTATGCCTCCTGCTCATTTTGAATGTGTGCTTATTTTTTGGGCTTATTTTTGTGCTGGGAAGCTGTAAACTCTAACATATTGGTCCTAGACTAGCTGCCAATCCTAATCCCTCTCCCCCACCAATTAATATCTGCAGGGTTTTTAAAAATTTGATCTTATCTTAACTTGATGTTTTGTCTATTTAGATGGGCCCCCTGCTACTTTCTTTTCAGTGTAATGGCAGTATTTGCCCATGCCTTCTCCTGGTCTATTTTCCAATTTTGCAGCCTATTCACAGCCCTGGAATTCCCAAATGGTTCCTTATCCACAATCTAGCCACTGCAGACTCTACTTAGTTTACAAGATCAGCCAAAGATGGTTATTTGATGTCATCTGCAGAGATTCACCATTCACCAATTTTATATTTTATAATGAACAATATAGCTCAGGTAATTATAGTTTCTGAACAACCAAAGCTCAATGTTTGCAGACTTACATTTTAAAGACAAATTATATAACAGTTCCACTTTATGGAAATTTGCATGGAGAGTATAAATGTAAGAATATTTTTCAATATTAATTTGTCTATTCTATTTTCTATTATGGTAACATATTTTTCAGTTATATAATAATCCCACTGCTAATTGTTCAGGTTCAACTTCATTTTAAGGCTATTTTTTTTACAGCTGAGCAGCGGAATTTCCTTGGCACACATAAATAGTTTTAGCTTATTTTTTATTAAAAATTTGTTTAAATGCAAGATTAAAAGCATCCTAGCCACAAACACTCTTTCCCCAACTAATGTTTTGAAATTAATAGATTAAGCAATACTGGATTTCTCTTTTTCATGATAAGCTCCAGTTGTTCAGATAAATCTATATAAGGGTAAATGGCAATAGAGATTGGGAAAAGAAAGGCTAATTATTAGAGCTATGCTCCAAATCACAGTAAAACTTGAACCCAGATCAATTCAGGACCATTTTGGACAGATTTGTGTTCACTTAGTATATAGACAGCTCCAACTCATTATGTCTTAATTGCAAAAGATGCACAAAATTTTGTCCCCAATTTGCTGATACCATAGATAGATATTATAACACATTTTGACAGTGTGTGTAGAACACCTTGGTGAAAATAGAATGTAGAAGGAATTCTGAAATCAGCAAAATATTTGAAGATAATAGTAACACTAGGAGTCCAACAATTATTGATCACCCCAGTCCCAACCTCTGGACAGAGTAGATTATGGGGATAAAATTAATTGGACAATACAAGACACTGACTAGAAAAACTGGAGGCAGGTTGGACATTGCTGATGAAACTGTACTTAAAATAGGTTATCTGGAGCTAATGGGAATTTCTATTTAAGTGTTAAAAGGAGAATACTCCTAGCAAAGATAGAACTGTTCTTTCTTTGGGAATAAGATTAGATGCCCAGTAAGCCAAGATATTTCCAGAGCCTAATAGTTATCCTGCAGAGTGAGTTGAGTGGTTTCTGCACAATGCTACTTATTACAACAATATTTCATATTCATCCCAGTTCTTTTATCTGGTCACTGCAACCTATGACATATCTTCAGATACTTCTGAATTAATGTCCTATAAAAATGTTTATAATCCAACTGTTTTGGTGTGGAAAATGCTAGAACATTTTGAAGATCATCTGTTGTTTGGTTTACTATTACAGAAAGAAAATAGATAAATATCACAGTTTAATTGCCTTAATTAAATGGATGAAACCTAATAAATCCAGTATCCAGTATTATACAACAAAAATGACAATAATTTGTCAAATCTAACAACTGTCATCAATCAGAGCTGCTAACCAGAACTGTAATAATTAATGAGTTCTGGTTTTTTTACTGCAGCTTTTAATTCACGGTTGATTTGTAAACTCAATTTATTTTATTATGGTAGAATAAAGTAGATAGCTAAAAATATAGAACAATGCCTAACTTCTTTTGATCCCTCATTTCCCTTCCTCCCCCCCAGTTATAAGAAAGCTGCAACATAAACTATAATATTAATTTTAGTGCAGGAAAGCCAAAAGTCTGGTTTACCTGATCCAAACCAGCACTAGCAGCATGTATTTATATTTCCTATTTCTTAACTGCCCATCTCTCTCTCTGCTACCAAAACTTAGTGATAAAATGCCAAAAAGTAGTGTTATATGATTTTCTATATTTTTAAAACCATTATAAAATGGTAAAACTATGTTATATTTTCCAACTTTGGTCACCCAGAACTTTCCAATTTATAATTTTTTTTAGAAAGACTCTAGGAATGAAGTCCAGCTGCTCTGGAAAGAATAGGATTTCTCAAAAACTCCAATTAAAATTTACCCCCAATTCCTATTGAAATAATTCCTGACATTTAAAGACAGCATAGATGCCAATTGTAAAAATGTTGTGTTTGCTGGCTGTTGGTAGTGGCCAAAATCAATTGTATTCACCATTTTAATCTGAGATGTAAAACACGTTACTGTTTACTGATATCTCTAGGTGAGGAAAAACACCTAGATGTGATGATGGATCCAGGTAAATTCCTCTTACATGTAACTCCATATATAGCATTAATAAGCTAGTGCAATTACTGGCTCCTTGTGCTGTTATGACAGTTTATCTCAAACGTGCTTGAGATGATTATTCAACCAAAAACATTCTCAGCTACTTTCTCTTCTGCCAGATGAGCTGATTCCAGATCACATATGACAACTGTATTCTTTCTATAAGTGTTTAATTTATTTGCCAAGATATATCTTTGTCTAATTTCTTGCATAAAGCATTCTTAAAACCATAGTGTAAGCAAAACAGCAGCCACTTTTTTCCCATTACTCTGATAGATCATCTGTTTATTTACAAATAACATAGATTTATCTAAAACTACCTGTCTTCCTTCCATTGCTCCTCGCATTTCCTTGAAAGTTGAACTGAATTCTCCAATGAAGTCATGCTTGCCATTGGAATCCCAGTCCCAGACTATGCACTGAAAGAGAAATATAAAAACTAAAAAATCCCAGAATTTTGATTAAAACAACAGAAACAATTCTTTTTTACGGAGAAAAATATCAGTTAAAGACTGTACAAACCATGTTCAAATTCTTAATATCCCCTCTACAGTGAAATGAGAAATTTCTACCCTGAAATCCATGGACATCTCAACAAAAGCCATCAACTGGACCAAGAGTCCTGCAATAATCTCAAACCTTAACTATGGTTCGTCAGGGCTAACAAGGCCATGGTACAAAGCAGATATTCCATCTATGTTTGGGAAGGGGTGTGCATCCCATTTCATATATATTAAAGCCACTCAGATTTTTTGGCTTTCATGCTGATCTAAAAAATTTGCAGCTGCTTTAGAGGGACCACTTGCTAAAGTAAATAAGACTTTTAGACAATGGCCTTTTTGTCAGCTCATATGGAAACTTAAAAAATAATGATGGAGCTTTATTAAATAAGAAATCCAAAGAATGTTTTCTAATCATTAAAGTCATAAGTATCTTTTGGGGGATTCATCGTGCTCTGAATGGTTGCTAACAACTGGCTGTTAAGTGAGGACTACCTCCTTCAACTTAAATTCAGCTTTATTGTGGAAAATATTAAGGAAAGGATCCCCTGCTTCATCTTTTTCTGATACATACATAGTACATCAGAATTTTGGCATTATGCATTTTCGTCCTATTGTGATTATTCATCTAATACTTGTTCCAATTCGTATCAGCAAAGATCCCCTTCTGCATCTTGAATATCCACAACTCTATGTCTTGTTATGTACATTTTATTATAATGTACATAACTTTCATTGTGGAATGCTTTCTAAACAGAAACTCAGATTTATTTTACTTTAATAGTGTCTTTAACCTGGTACAAAAAAATACTATCTCCTTAGGGGAAAGGCACAAGCGAGAAAAATAAGATATTCAAAGAACTGATATTCAAAAAAATTTATAAAAAATTGCTTACATTTGACATTGAATACTTATGATTCATGCTATTAGACTGATTTTTTTTCTCCTACTGCTTTCCTACTTATAGTGCTACTGAGATAGTGAAGACCCAGATTACAAAGGAGGTACCTACTAGCATGTATAACTACTTTTCCGATAATACATACAGCCTATGAGGCAGAAGAGATTGTCATCTCTGTTCTGCATAGATGAGCAATGACCTTCAAGAGTTTCAGACTGTGATCTTTTCTTAGTGGTTTAAGGAACTGATTCTAAAATTTATTACATGTTAAGCAAGTACACTGTCACTGAACCATGATTCTGCACCATTACTTCTAAGCAGAGCCAATATTTTATGTAAGTGAGTGACAGAGCCAGACTTTTCTGGAAATTGTAAACTAAATGGTTTAATCCCCTACAGCTATGGTAAACTGGAGAACTATGGTAATAGTTGAGAGCCTGTTACACCCTCAGGATTTTGTACATTATTTTGTACAGTGTCTTCTACTCTTTCTTTACAAAAGGGGAAATGCATACCAAATAGCTTCAATCACAAAGCCTTTATTCCTTGATGAAGATACTTTTACATGATACACAACTGCATTTGACTCCCTTTCTCATCCTACCACTTATAAAAACAAGTGCACAAAATTGCCACTTGCTGATTAAAGAAAAAGACAAAGGATCATGATTGTGTTAATGATCCATTCATTATCAGTCTTTTATTAGAATGTCAGAAAGTTGGTTCAAAAGAGAAAGGATTGTCTGAGGTTTGAATTTTAATTGGAGATCCCAAATTACATTTAAGACTGTCAAGGTTAACATGTTAAAGCTGTTTTTTTTAAACTCCTAACTTTAGAGTAGTTCCTAGAACTTTAGAAAGCCAGATGATTTAGTACCAAAGTTCATGGACACAAAATACTAACATTATCTCAGAGTTGTTTGCACAACTGTAATTAGGAGAAAGTTTTAGATGCACGATTGATGTCTGGTTAATATATATTAATTTATTGGTATATGGTATATGATATATTGATCACCTTGATCAATATACCATATATAGTCCTCTTGCCTGAGTGATCATGGTACATATTGTGCATGTTAACCTTACCAGGTAGACCAAATAGGAAACACAACCTAAGAAAGCTAATTGTACTTTATTGTAAAGCTACAAGAACAGAATCTTGAAAGACTGAAAGTATAATTCCCCCACTGATTTCTTTACAGCCTGAGAAACTATAAAGAGTCCCCTTCTGCCCAATATTCAGTTGCAGTTGCTATGATGTCTCTTATATGATCAGTCCCTAAGCAGAATTTTTTTGCTTGTCTCCCAAGATCTTTCCTACATACCGTTACAGTGTTACATGGACACACACACACTGACTACTTTCAAATTTTTCAGATTAATTGGAAGGCCAAAATAAAGCTATTCTTATCAGCCCCATGCAGCCTGTCCATTTTCAAAGGTTGTATGTTAATTCCAAGTATCTGGAAACATTTCATGTTTTTTCTGGAACATTTCTGGAATATTATTAATCATAAGGAATCTGAATCTCAAGATGCTGAAGTAGGAAGCTCAGGATTGGGGCTGGTCTACTGTCAGAATTTTCAAACCAAGACTTGGCTGTAAATTTGCAATGTTCCCACCCCTGTGACTTAACTTCTATTGTTTTTATTTATTTCCATAGTACTTATTTTTACTTTATTTTGTCAAACTATAAACCACCCCTGAATCTCTTAAATTAGGATAAGATACTGGGTGTCTGCAAAGGTAAGGATGGGGTCAAAAAAGTCATGATAGCACTTGCTCCTTCATGAACAAAGTTTTGATCCTTTTTTAAAGCAAGTCAGGCATGCAACACTGCAAAAAGAAGCTAAACTTCAGTCATATCATTGCAGTGACTATCTTCTCATTTTGAGCCTCTTACAGATGCCCTTGGTAATATATTAATATTTTTATAAACAAAAAATCTTATTGTTAAGCCTGAACACGGCAGAAATCTTAGTGATACTGTAAATGGTATGGTTAAATAAGAACTCACTCAAGATACATTAACAAGTTGATTGTCTTCTGTCAGGATACAGTTCTCTTTCTCTCACTCATGGCAATTTAAATCAAATGTTTTCTTCTTCCTGCCTTTTCTGTGTTTCAAAAGACTCTGCCCTGTACTTCATGGTCTTTAAGTTAAATAGCTATTGGTTATTGACATAACCAGGGCTTTTTTTTGTCATAGAATGCCCAGAACGGAGTTCCGGCACCTTTTTTGGATAGAACTTTGTAGGGTAGGCAAGGTGGATTGTATGATGTGTGTGAGTTCTGGCACCTTTTTTTTTTAAACAAAAAAAGCACTGGACATAACTGATATCCCTTCCCTGAGAACTTAGCCTCTTTCTTTATACCACTCAAGATTGGGGCTTGTAGAATCTATAAACTGGAAGGAATTATTTCAAATCTATCATGTCACTGAGTGTGGGAATCCAAATTAAAGTATCTCAGAAAACTGACCAGCCCCTGCTTGAACGAAGCCAGCAAAGGCAACTCCACCACATCCCTACATAATTGGCCTTGTCATTTAACTACTTCCACTCTGCAGATGCTTTCCATATATAACCAGAATCTATCTTCCTATAACTTAAAACCAATTATAAATTATGTAATTTAAGACAACTGTGAGTTAGAGGCTGTAGCCTTGTCAAACCTTCAGAGTATAGATGCATATAATTCATGCACAAAGATGCACTGGAGCCTGCAAAACAGGACTCCTCAGGAATAAAGCTTTACCTATAAAGAGGAATGTCCAATAAATAGCCTGACAGCTGCTAATTGCAACAGTGTTATCTCTGCTCAGAAAAATATGCAGATGAGAATAAGATTCTGTTAGTTCTGGATGAGAAGGCATAAAAACCATCAGACTCACAACTGGCAAACTGACTTGAAAGAGAACTTAGCAGTGCTACTCAAAAAGAAACAGTGGGTAAAGGTGCTTGGTTCTGCCTATCTTGGTAGTCCAAGACCTAAACATTGCTGGCAAATGAAGGGAGTGAGAAATAAAGTGCAATGAACAATTGAGATTAAGATCTTGCATAAAGAAGGCCATGGTTTCTTACAACAAGCAATATTAGGAGACCCCAGGGAAACATCTCAATTGTGACATTTAAATCTGCAATTTCTTACTCAGTTATATTCAGTACATATCTAGTATTGCCCTTATGTTACTGGATCACCTTTGGTGACTTTGGATTGCTTTTAGAACTCTTGTACTCATTTCTTCATCATGATGAACTGATCTTTTTTTTTGCTAGACCTTATTTACTTTGATCAATGCTTCATTCTCCCCAGTTCTGATTTATCATCTTTCCCACTCATAAACAAGACATAAAAAACTCAAAACCTTTGGCTTTAGAAATCTTCAGGTCTCAATAATAAATTTTGAAAACAATGATAAGCTGTTTGTTCTTGAACTTATGCCTCTCAGTTTATCCTGCAGCTGGTTAGATAGAGCAAATTATATTTTGTTTTGTTTTGTTTTGTTACAACCAAGCTTACATAGCTCCAAAGTTTGGCTTATGGTCACTCTCAAACTCTCAGACTCTTCAGGCATGTGGCTCTTGTAACATCCCCCCCCCCCCGTTTTCTTCCTGGCTTGTTCAGTTAGTTGCAACTAAAGTAGACAAGAACCCAGGTCAACAGCCCTGGTCAATAGCCATGATAACAGCTGAAATAACTAGGAGTGCACATAAATCACTTTCCACAGAATACTAAGACACATCAGTTTGGGGGGAATTCATGGAGATGCAATGAATTTAAAATAATAGCAACACTTCATTGATTACAATATACATTTGCTCTTTGTCACATGCACATATACATTCAGCTGCACTTACCCACATCCTTCTCAATTAGGCACTAGCGAGGGGAGTGGAAGCCACCAATTCTGGATCCAAAATAGTGAGCGGTTTTCAGCATCCCATTTTATCCCCCAATGTTCTTGCTTCCTTGATTAATCAGGATTAGGTTTTTCTAGTTGCTCAGATCCAA